ACAATGTTGCATGGAGATCAGGGGCAGTACCCCAGGACTGGCAGACCGGGGTGGTGGTCTCCATCTTTAAGAAGGGGGACCGGAGGGTGTGTTCTAACTACAGGTGTGTCTTGCCCATTGCAACGGGCCATTCGATCCCTATACAACCGTTGCAAGAGTTTGGTTCGCATTGCCGTCAATAAGTCGGACTCGTTCCCAGTGGGTGATGGGGTCCGCCAGGGCTGCCCTTTGTCACCGATTCTGTTCATAATTTTCTAGGCACAGCCAAGTGGCGGAGGGCTTTCATTTCGGTGGCCCCAGAATCTCGTCTCTGCTTTTCACGGATGATGTGGTTCTGTTGGCTTCATCGGGTGATGGCCTCCAGCTCGCTCTGGAATGGTTCGCAGCAGAGTGTGAAGCAGCAGGAATGAGGATCAGCACGTCCAAATCTGAGGCCATGATTCTCAGCCGGAAAACGGTGGAGTACCCACTCCGGGTCGGGGATGAGTTCCTGCCCCAAGTGGAGGAGTTCAAGTATCTCGGGGTCTTGTTCGCGAGTGATGAGAGAAGGGAGCCGGAAATCGACAGATGGGTTGCACCGGTCTGTCGTGGTGAAGAGGGAGGTCGGGGGAGAGGACATTAAGCCACTTTCACTCACTGGTCACTTTTTGAACCAGACCATTCTAGTATTAGGCTGGACGCCCTTTTGCTTACAGAGCTTCCTGAAATTGTCAGAGCTTCCTTAAATTGTCATGCCATATATTCAATAATGTACTGGAAAAATTCCTAGGAGATTTTGGTCCACATTTACATGATAGCGTCACACGGGTACTGCAGATTTATCGGCTGCACATCGAGGATGGGAATCTCCAATCCTGCTACATCGAAAATAAGCTCTGTTTGATTGAGGTCCAGTCTCTGTGGAGCCAATTTGAGTACAGGGAACTCATTGTCATGTTCAAGAAATCAGCTTGAGATGATTTCAGCTTCGTGACATGGCGTGTTATCCTGCATGGACAGCAGCAATACTCAGGTAGGCTGTGGTGGTTAAATCATGCTGAGTTGGTACTAATAAGTCCAAAGTATGCCAAGAAAATGTCCTCATCCCATTACATCACCAGCAGCAGGCTGAGCTGTTGCAGCATAGTCAAGAGTCATTAGACTAGGCAATGAGTTCACAACCTTCTGTTGTCCAATTTTGGTGAACTGAGAGGAGTGGCACCTGATGTGGTCTTCTGCTTCTGCTACCCATCTGCTTCAAGGTTCAACATCTTGTATATTCAGAGATGCTCTTCTGAAAACCTGGGTTGTAACAACTGGCTATTTGGGCCAATGTAACATTCTGGACAGTCTCCTTCAGCCTCCCATTGTAATGCTCGGTGTGAACTTCAGCAAGTCATCTCGACCATGCCTGCATGCCGCACAGCACTGAGTTGTGTCCATGAGATTGGTTAAATAAGATAGTTGCACTAACAACATTACAGTTTGGTATGGAAGCTGTTCTGCCAAAATAAAAACCCTTACTCTGTCCAATACTGTACTAACTGACACTCTGAAATCTTGTACAGCTGCTCACTCCTGACACTTTTCACTATTTGCTGATTGACTTTTCTTCTGCTCGTCAAACACATTTCATTGCAATGTTGACCCTGTGCCAAGTATGACAGATAAAAATAAATTTAAAAAAAAAAACAACCTAAAACTGAACATGAAACGGAACATGAAAAGCATTATGTAGTATTTTTAGATGCACTTGTATGACCTGTGTGTAAATGGTCCAAAGTGGTCCTCGGAGACTTCGATTTTTTTATTCTAGCAGCTGCAGCACCCCTAGTGTTTGAGAGTTGCCTAAAGAGTTAATATAAACATTTAATTCAAAGGTACATGGAAAACTGTTACAAGGGGCACAAGTATAGAAATATGTAAGAAAAAAAAAAAAAAGTACCCTTGAATCTATATTTGCTGTTGGTGGCCATCAAAGACAGACAATGACTTCACACCATTTTATATTTAAAAAAAAAAAAAAAAAACCTCCATGTCCACATTATCATTTTCCAACGTTTCGAAGAGTTGTTCATCCACACTGAAACGACTGAAAACCATTACGTTCCTGCACTGCGCATGCGTGAAACGCAAGATGATTCTGCATCATTTCAGTCTGCTGTTTATTTACTTTCCAGTGCTTTGAAACTTTGCAGCATAATGTCGAGGAAAAGCACAGTTTTTTGTTGTTTTTTTTAAATGAGAAGGTGGAGTTGTTGCTGCGAGTAACACAAGACTACAAAGTTGCAAAAGCACCATCTCAGTGTGGACGGAAGGCCAAAACTGAGAGAAAAAGATGTTTTCAAACAAAAACGCGTTAGTGTGGACATGGCCTTAATCTAGCCTCCAAGTGTCCAGAGCTGCGTCAGCTACTCATTTGTAGTTCAAGTAGTATTTGTATTCAAGTGGATTATTTATACCTTCACAGCTGTTGCTACAAAAAAAGCAACACGTTGTAGAGACACATCTGTACCATGAACTAGAGATGCGTCGGTCGCCCTCCCCCACTACTTCCAATAAGGAAGTAGTGGGGGAGGGTGTTCTCTCCCTCACCCTCTCGCCGCATGTGAGCCAGCCTTGTGTTTACGCTGAGCAGAAGGGGGAAGGGTGCAAAAAGCCTTGTGTTTGTGCTGAGTAGAGGGGGAAGGGGCTGAGTAGAGGAGGGGCAGTAGTTACACTTGCAGCAGCAGTACCACAGGAACAGAGCAGGGAGGTGAGAGAGAACGTGAGCAGGAGACACCAAGAGACAAGATCAACACAGTCATCTCTCTCTCTGCAAGTATAGACACTACCAGAAGGAATCCCTCACCAGATGTAGTACTGGAAGTGAGATACTACACTGATGAGCCCCTTTGCCAGAGAAGTGCAGACCCACTGAGATGGTAGGACAGGGGTGGGCAACTCCAGATCTCGAGGGCCGGTGTCCCTGCAGGTTTTAGATGAGTCCTTGAACCAACACAGCTGATTTAAATGGCTAAATTAGCTCCTCAAATGTCCTGAAGTTCTCCAGAGGCCTGGTAACGAACTAATCATGTGATTCAGGTGTGTTGACCCAAGGTGAGATCTAAAACCTGCAGGACACCGGCCCTCGGGGCCTGGAATTGCCCACCCCTGTGGTAGGAGAACAAGGCTTCCATTTATCCAGGTCTTACATTGTGGCAACATCAGTCCCTTTGAGAGAATCTGATCTGGTTTCTTCCTGATAGAAGAAACTGGATCAGCTCCTCAAAGCTGAGGCACTTGGTATTTCTAAATGCCAAACTTTACCTAAATTAAAAGATCTGGGTGTTCATTTATTTTTATTTACATAATAAAATATATATATTTTATATAATAAACCATTTAAAAAAAAAACAACAACATCTTTTTACATTACGAATTCATTTGTGCATAATTTTATATTGTTGTTGATAATAAATTAATTAAAGCAACAAAACAACATGAAGAGCCGCTCCGGAGCCGAAAGAGCTGGCTCTTTTTAGTGAATCGAGCCAATTAAGCCGGTTCTCAAAAAAGAGCCGGAATTCCCTCATCACTACCAGAAACCTTAGGACAGCCACGAGAGAAGCCTGGTCACGACGCCCGTTATCGCCGCGATACCCTGATATTGATACAACAATCAATGCACCCACCTGGCATTTAAAGCTGCACTCCATGTTCAGTTTACTGGTGCTGTAAACCAACTAAAAACTCTTCTCTCCAGACAGGAAATGTTTAAAAAAAAAAAAAACCCACACAAACAGGGGGGGGGAAAGTCATCTAAGATGAGCTCCAGTCCAAACACCAGCACACGGAGCGAAGTGTTTCGCTCTAACCTGGGCTTAGCTGGCGGGAGATTGCTTTTTAAAGCAGCAGCGGTCTGACTCCTCCCTCCTCTGACGCTCAGTTCGTACCGGCAGGAAGTTGTGTGTAAAACGCGGGCATGGAGAGAGAGTGTTGTTGTCGTTCTACCGCTTTTTGTCGGAGAATTTATTAGTACTCAAAGAAAATAAAGCATTTCAAATAATGTGTCGCTCCTGTAATGAAACGAAGAAGGCGACGTACTGTGAAACGCAACACAGTGTTGTTTTATGCAGGTGACATAAACGAGGAAAATATCCGTTCATTAACCCTCTGATGCATGAATTATGAAAGCCTTGGTCAAGATTTTTTTCTTAAGTGCTTTTATTCTTCTCAGGAGATGAAAAAAAATGTTCAACTCTTTTTTTCCCAAAAATATGTTTTTTTATAAAGTTATAAACTTGTCCACTCCAGTGGACTACATGCGCCTGAGCACTTAGCATGAAATACTGTGAATTTACTATAAAAATTAATTACCTTGTGTTCTATTGTAAATATACAAACACTTGTTTGCTTGTA